ATATATATATATATATATATATATATATATATATATATATATATATATATATATATATATATATATATATATACTGAGCAGTAGACAGTATCGTACCGTACCGAGCTAACGTCGAAACTCTGGTACGGTACGAAATTACGAACCTTATTCAGATACTTAAGAAGTATTATCATCAAAAACAATTTTATCATAGATCTATGAGGCAGACTGAATTGGATAATAGATCAAGAGCTAAAGGACCACTCCGGAAGAAGATTGGAGATCTTGAGGTCTGCTCATTCCATCATATGCTTTTTTGTCATCCCATACATATTTAGGTAGCTAATAAACTCTAACAGGATATTGACCAATAAATATCAGTTTTGAGAACTCTTTTTCATTTATTTAGGATAATTTCAGCCCATGAGAAAAGAAACAAGAAGCATACAACCTAAATTTACCTGCATTGTTTGTAAAGTGGAAATCTGACCATTAATCCACAACATAGTAGTTGTGACATCACCTATAGGCGTCCATGCACCACCAGCATTGGCTGCTATTACAACAACAGCACCTAAAAATCTGTCACATCATGTGCTAACCATAAAATATCAATGTTGAGAAGTTGGCCTAAAAATGTTGGAGCAAAATTCAGCAGATAAATATTGCTGACAATGACTAGCACCGTGATCATAATCAAATTAAAGTACAAAAATGCTACAATGAATTGAAATAATAACGGAAACAATAAAAAGGAAACTACTTTTAACATAGGAACAACTTAATATATCATGCCCATTACTTATTACAAATGACTTAACATAAGAAACTTAATTACAAATGGTAAGTTTAAATATGAAAGTTAAGAGCAATGACTAATAATCATCATGCTATTCTGAATTAAGACCTGACAAACCACACATTAAAAATCACAAAATTTTGAATACGATATCATAATAAAATAACAAATATAGATATCCATAATATTTTTAATATTTTATTACATACATTGGGGTAGTTGCAGGTAGTAACTGGATATCAATTTCCAACATGGCCAGCTCGTGCACAGGGGACAAAAAGAGAGCATGGCTATGACAAAGGTGCAAGCAATGACCATTGTACAGCCTGAAATGTATGAAACAGGCGGTACATAGCAGTTGGGGTGTGGCCCAATACATGACCACCCCCGTTTCGAGCAGTCTGGTCAAACTCATATAAAAAAAATAAAAGAAATCCTAAAATAGTGATTAGGGCTTGCGACATCGTCCCTGGTTAGGGCTTGCAACCCCGTTTCCCCCTGTTTCCCGTGACCAGCTGCCGCTTGACGTCACTGCCATTTGTCTCTCCGGTACATTCCCTCCACTTCTCTTCTTCCTTCTTCTTCCTCCTCCACCACTTCCTTCTTCTTCCTTCTTCCGCTTCCTCTTCTTCCTTCTTCTTCCTCTTCCTCTTCCTCTTCCTCCGTCAAGTTAGATCATACACTTTGATTAGGAAAATAACATCATCTTAAGAACCTCCCTTACGGTAACTATTCCTGCAACAAATCAACATAAGGCTTCTGCATGACTTCTTGTTGATCTGTGCTTCATCACTTGGTTCTTCCAGGTTATAAAATTTATAGATAGGCTAAGTGTTTACTTGTCCTTCAATCCCTATAAAGCAATTGTCTGTTTTCTTAATACATATGCAAGAAATACCAGAACAAAATAATCATTGAATCTATGTAAGATGTCTGATATGATTTGACTCTTCAGTGAGAATTTAGTGCCCGTACAAATCACAAAAATAAGATTAATGTAAAAAGTAGAAGGTACATAGATCATTATGTGGAAGAAAATGAAACAGCCAAACTGCAAATATATAATACTAGGTTTAGTGTGTCCATAGAGCTTGGCCATCTACATAAACAAGAATATTGTAGGATAATATTATTGAACTAGAGGTCATACAACTCGGTCAACTTTGGAGATACTAAATTAGAGAAAACTAATTGAATCATACTTCCTGTATTCTGATGGCGGAACTAGCTTCCTTAATAAGGAAACCATAACAATTGTTGATGTCAGATTATCAAGAACTGAACTCAGGAAGAAAGTCACAAGACCAACCTGTAATTACAACCATAATATTATCAGTATCGAGATAAATTGAATGTGTCAAAAATATATTGCATTAATTACGTCTAATATACAAATTAATGACAAATAGTTTGATTATTCTATAGGTATCCAACATTTCCTACACAAATAACAAAAGAAAAAAATAATTTGATATATTTTTGCTAGTAAAATTTCTGTGACACAGAACAAAACAATTTGACCAACGCATGTTGAGATTTGATTCATAATTATCGAGGTAGTTATCATGATCTAGTAGTTATAGGGTGGTTTCAATCAGGGTTTGTCGTACCGAGCCGTACCGCCCGGTACGGGCGGTACATACCAGTCCGACAGGTTTTCGGTACGCGGACCGATGGTTACCGGTCCGAGGTACTGTAGCACTGTAGCAGGTACTATAGTACTATAGCAGTGCTACAGTACTCGGTACACTCAGATGTACCACTCGGTACACCTGGGTGTACCGCTCGGTATACCGTACCGTACCGGTACCGAGCCCAGGTCGAAATACCGGTACGGTACGGTATTGCGAACCTTGGTTTCAATAACTACCTCAATCATGATCTAGTAGTTATAGGGTAGTTTCAATAACTACCTCAATAATGGGTGACATGGGGAGTGACTAGGTCCTATAAATAGGACCATAGTTCATGAAGCAAGGGATATAGAGAGTGTGTACTTGAGAATATCTTGTAAGTGTTCTTGTCAATCCTCTTGTTTTTAAATACAATATCGCTTTTCTTGAATCGAAAGGATTCTTTTACTTGCATCGTAATATTCTGTTTTTTCCTTGCTCCTCCATCCCAACAACACAGTCAAGACCATAAAAAACCTTTCTAACTATTCAAACCAAGGACCATTGGTATGTTTCAGTTTGAGCGTGGACTAGTACATGGATGGATCCCATTTCAAGCAATCCAGTTCAAATTACACACACACACACATATATATACATCGAACACAATCAAGACCATGAAACACCTTTCCAACTATTCAAAGTTAGGACCGTTGGATGTGCCAGTCCACATGTGGACCGATAAGTGGATGGCTCCCATTTCAAGCAGTCTAGTCCAAATCATACATACATACGTACATGCATACATACATCAAACACACATGCCACCCCCAATTAAGGCTTGCGACCCATTCCCCCATTTCTCACAACATTGCCGCTACTGCTTCCATTGGACATTGCCTGCCAATTCGCTGTTATTTATCTCTTTGATACACGCTTTCCTCTTCTTCCTTCTCCTCCTCCATCGCTATGGCTTCTTCCTTTTTCTTCCTCCTCCACCATTGTGTCTTCTTCCTCCTCCTTCACTCTCATCCTCTGCTGCCTCCCTTTCTTCCTTTCTCTTCCTCCTCCTTCCTTCTCTGGTTCCTCTCCCGCCCCTTTCTCTCATGTCTTTTTCTTCCTCTTTGAAACACAGTACACCAGTATTGACTAGTATGTACTGGTCTTATCATATGACTAAAATGGGTTCCGTACCCAAAACTACAATCCTTGATTCAAACAATAAATTGAATACTTCCAAACACATTTTGGCCAAGTGCATAGTTGTCTTACTAAAGATGCCTTGAAAATTAATACACATTTACCCTCAGATATTGCCTGTATTTGTTGCAACAGTGAAGTATCACTTTAATGCTTTTTTTCTCAATCAAAGAAGACTAGAGTGGAAGATTAAATAGTTAACTATATCATTATTTCTTCTCAGGAAATACTTCTACTAGGATGATAAGGATGGCAACAAGTATTGCAAGCTCAATCGCTTTTGTCAAATTCAACATAGTTGATGCAACACCAGATCTGATTTTGTTACTATTTACAGTTACAATATGCACCAAATAACATGAAGTTCAACTGGAATATATCCAAACTTCATATATTGCAACAATGACTGCTCTGGATACAAATTTAACCATCAACTTTGCATCTATTAGGTCACTCTGAGAATGAAATCTACACAATTGGATTCCATGACCAATGTAAACTTCTTACGATCAATTTTCACCAATATAAACTCGTGTGCCCATAATTAGTATGTGCATACAACTTCGGATGACATCATCCACTATGCAGGTTCCCTACAAGTCTCTGGTAGTAAAGATTTGATGACATTTTTTCTTTGATCAAATTATACCAAAAACTTGGACTTAGCAAAAAAACAAATGGACCTAGCAGTAACCCATGACCATTTTCAGCATGGTAGACATCATATTTACTACAAACAGCGGGTGACTCCAGTTGCATATATCCTGATAGAAAACTACAAAGGGAATGTAACAGCGAACATGTTTAATGGCTATTCCAGATTGTAAGATAATAATATAATATGTGGCAATGACCAAAAAAATAACACTCACCACCCAAAGGAGAATGCGAGGTTTCCGAGTAGTAATATTGTCAGTAACTAGTTTAAAGCCTTGATGTGCATCAATAATCTCCACTATTGTCATTGCACCAAGTAGGAAGAACACAATTTCACTGACTTCAGCAGATGCATGGGTTAATTCTGAAACAGCTATTTCCGTAGATGGAGCCTATGAAAGAGAAATGTAACATGTAACTTCCAAGTGCAAATTAATCATGCCAACATATATATACTAATGCTCAATGACTTTAATAGGAGTTGGTATGATATCTACAAGCTCCTCAAGTAAGAAATCAAACCATTATGCACTATTCAACACTGAAACAAAAAACGAGAGACTTTCAAAGACTAATAACTTTGAGTACATGCACAAATCATTCATAATAAAATCCAGAGGAGCATGCCATGGACAGTGCAGTATAATTGTAATTCCAAACTAAGCGAGGAAGATTTATATGCATATCTATTTTGTTTTACTCATGAATCATCGAGTATACTGCTCAATTTGGCCTTTTATACAACATTATCAACTGACCACCTGATTGTAGAAGGTCAATATATTTTGGAATTACAGTGATTGTCTAACACGTTCAACCATTGTACTATCTAAAATTGCCAAGAAAAAAAGAAGATGCAGAGTCATAATGTTCCTACAGAAGCAACTTATAATCGCTCCTACTAGGAAAAATGCCTGAGACGCCCTTGGTGTTTTCTAGGTGGAACATGATCAAATCAAGGATAGCTTGATCATAGCCATCCCAGCATTACTAGTGCAATATAGATAACCTATCTGCTCATGCTACATCTCATTCTACCTTTAGATTACCAAGGGCATCTTTGTTAGGACTCTAGCTAGGAGAGTCCAAATTAAGAGGGACATTCATGTAAAACCTACCTAAGCCGACCCCTATTAAAGAAGTGAAGAGGCCAGCTAGGGTTAGGAGATTGTTTCTTAGAGAAGAATTAGGAGTTGTAAAGGAATAGAAGTCTTGAGTATGAGTCCTATTAGGAGTTGGTTAGAAGTAGGAGTCTTGAGTAGGAGTCCTATTAGGAGTTAGGGTTTAGAAGCCCTATAAATAGCCATATATTCCTTCTCTTTTCATAAGCAATAGATGAATCTTTACTGCAGCCTTTGAGCAGCAACTTGAAGGGAGGAACCCCTAAAGAGTTCCAAGGAGGCCGATCCCCTAAAGAGATCAACCCCAAGTTTAGAATCTGCAAGGGTTCTAACATCTAGTATCAGAGCAGCGCTCTTGGCATCTCGCTGCCCTTCCACAGCCATCCATCAACCCTCCATAGCCGTCCAAAGCAATTCCCACAATTGCTTAAAAGATCATCGCCAAATTCCGTCGTCATCTCCACCACCGCGGATTATCCTTTGATCTCCCCGTGAATTGCAACATGTTCCGGTTTCCTATCTTACTGCTGCTGCAATTTAGTTATCCTTATTCGAAAATATAAAAAAAAAAATTGTTCCAAAATTACTGCATAAACTTTTCGTCGCAAAGTTTTCATCTCTACGACGAAAGATACATTGCAAAATTCCAACCGCATAGCACAGATTGTTTGATCTTGCTACTACGTTTTTTCTATCCAAATCTCTACGAAATTTTTATGACAGCTTTGACACTTCCTAACAGCAAATTTCCCTTTAGTTTTGTCAAAAATTTCTCAATATAAACTATTGATCTTTTACGTCTAATCTGCTATACTTGAAAATCTGTACTATAAAATTTCAGTCGCATAGCACTGCTTGTTTGATCTTGATACTACGTTTTTTCTATCCAAATTTCTACGAAATTTTTATGATAGCTTTGACACTTCCTAACAGTGGATTTCGCTTTGGTTTCGTCAAAAAATTCTTAATATAAACTACTGATCTTTTATGTCCAATCTGCTACACTTGAAAATCTGTGATGCAGAAAATTTCAACCGTATATTGTTGCCTTAACTCATCTATTTGCAATCTTTTTTTAATGAAATTTCTTATACACTTCATAGATCATCTTGGCTTCCATCTAAGATTGATCCAAGGTCTGCCATACCGAATCGTACCGCCTAGTATGGGCGGTACGTACCGGTCCGACAGGCCAACGGTACACGGACCGCCTACTACTGTAGCAGTGCACTGTAGCACTGTAGCAGTGCACTGTTATAGTAGCAGTACAGTGCACCAGTACACTATAGCAATGCACTGTAGCAATGCTACAGTGCTCGGTGCACCTGGGTGTACCGCTCGGTACACCGTACCGTACCGATACCGAGCTCAAGTCGAAATACTGGTACAGTACGGTATTGCGAACCTTGGATTGATCTATTGAGGAATTCATCTCTAAAACCGATTTTGTGTTGCTGCAAATTTTCATCGTAAAATGCTGAAATTTTTTTATGAGAATTCTGCTATCGCAACTTGCACCAATTTTCTTGTTGTTACTGTCGAAATTTTCTTGATTAAATTGGACATCCTTACTATCATATAAACTGAGATATTGCTGTCAATTCCCTCCTCAAATCTCTCGAGTTTTTGGTGAAAATTTCGTCGAGAAACTACTGTTTCTTTAACGACAATTCTGCTTTTACAAGACAGCACATATTTGCAGCAACTTCCATTGATTTATATTAAACCTTTGCTGTCATCTATCACAGATCTAAAACTTTCATCCACAGCCCTAAAACTCCATCAAACCATACCCACAAACTGCACCCAAAACAGCCATAAAACAAGTCTAAACCGTAGCCTACATTCACCGATCCACCAACCAAGGTTCGTCGTACCGTACCGTACCGTACCGGCGTTTCGACCCGAGCTCGGTACGGTACGGTACCGGTGTACCGGATGGTACATCAGGGCGTACCGAGCGGTACACCTTGGTGTACCGAGCGGTACACCTTGGTGTACCGAACAATTTTATACAGTATATTACTGTAGCACTGTAGCAGTGCTATAGTATAATACTGTAGCACTGTAGCGGTACCGGACGGTTCGCGTATCGGTAACCTGGCAGACCAGTACGTACCGCCCGGTACGGGCGGTACGCTTCGGTATGACAGACCTTGCCACCAACCCTTTCGACCATTACTTCTCTCAACCTATACATGCCTTTAACCTGGCAACAAAAGAGAGATCTTAACATCACAGATTTGGAGGCATATACTATGGCATCTGAGAAGGCAATCAATGCTAAATTCGAAGCCTTCGAGGCGCGAATGGAGGATAAGATTCGGACACTCTTTACCGAACTCAGATTGGGCCGACCACTAAGCCCGAAGAAATCATATCAAGGAGAGAGCTTTGCCTAATCACACCAAGCCCGAAGAGATGACTTCCAAGGGAGGGGAGGCTCTATGATCGACCCCAACTATCCATGCATGAGGGTGGACTTCCTTAGATGGGAAGAAGGAGACCCGATTGGTTCGATCTCGCGTGTGGAGCGATTTTTTCGGTACCACAAAATCACAGATGAATCTATGGTGAAAATTGCGGCTATACATCTTGAAGGGGATGCCATATAATGGTTTGACTGGTTTGAACATACTCATGGAATCCTCTCATAGCGACAATTCAAAGAAGGACTATTGATCCGCTTCGGACCAACCGATTACGAGAACATTGACGGACAACTAACAAAGATCCGACAAACCTCCACCATTCAGAAGTACCAAACCAGGTTTGAAGGTTATCTAATCAAACTCGTGATTGGTCTCAAAAACAACTATTGGGGACCTTCATTGAGGGCTTGAAGCCGGAGATCCGGGGAGAAGTTAAAACGCGACAACCGTACACGCTTATGCCAGTCATCTCTTTCGCACGACATCAAGAGGAGCAATTGAACCATGAAGCTCGGAGGACTAGGGTCACTCCTCGACCAGCAGTACTGAAGCCCTCAGCCCCCCCTACTATCGACCGAGTCCCTGCACAAAAGAGGTTAACAAGAGAAGAGCTTCGGGAGCGATATGCGAAGGGGTTATGTTGGCATTGCGACGAGCCGTGAAGCCGTGAGCATCGCTGTAGTAAAGGGAGACTTCTTATGATTGAACCAATAGAATTTGAAGATCCAAACCTACTTCCTTTGCTTGCTGAATTTTCAGATATATTTGACGAACCGCACAACCTACATCTTACCCATCGGCATGATCATTATATAACGATTCTTTCAGGCAAACCTCCAGCAAATACTCAGCTATATCAGTATCTACATCTCCAGAATGATGAAATAGAATGGATTGTAAAAGAGATGCTTGAAACAGGAGTTATTCGATCAAGTTGCAGCCTCTACTCTTAACTGGTGCTACTTGTACGCAAGAAGGACAGAACATGACGAATATGGGTTGATTACTGAGCACTCAATGGCATAACCATCAAGGATAAATATCCTATTCCAGTAGTAGATGAATTGCTAGATGAAAGGGAGCACAAATCTTCAGAAAGCTGAACCTTCGATCCCGGTATCATCAAATACGAGTGTACGAATACCGCCTTTCGAACACACAACAGGCACTATAAATTTTTGCTTTCTTCAACAAAAGGTGGAATATCATGGGCATATCATATCAGAGGAAGGTGTGACGGTGGACCTCTCCAAAATAGAAGCAATGCAGAACTGGCCAACCCCAAAGAACATAAAATTGCTACGTAGCTTTCTCGGTTTAATAGGCTACAACCGTAAGTTTATGAAAAACTATGGAAATATCAGTGCACCACTCACTTCTCTACTGAAAAATGATACCTTCCAATGGTCGGACAAAGTCTCCGCTACCTTCGACATACTTAAGTCAGCTATGACGACGACGCCGGTGCCAGCACTACCAGATTTCAGCCGACCCTTCATTATTGAGGTCGACGCATCTGGAGTCGGAATTTGAGCCATTCTCATGCAAGATGGTCGACCACTCGTATACACTAGCAAGGCATTGTCTCTCTCCTATCAAAATATATCAACATATGATAAGGAGATGCTCGCCATTGTGGACGCAGCAACGAGGTGGAGACCTTACTTTATCGGTCGACGATTTCAAATTAAAATCGATCATAAAAGCCTCAAGTACTTTTTGGAGCAAAAGATATCATCCCCTGAGCAACAAAAATGGGTAACAAAACTTCTTGGATTTGATTATGAAAAAACTTACAAAAAGGGGAAAGAAAATGTTGTTGCAGATGCGCTTACGCAG